CCGGTCCCGGAGCTACTGGGCCTGCGGGTCCTCCTGGAGCTGGAGCTGCTGAGGGTGTTGGTGCTGAGACTACTGCTGCTGGTCCTGCCGCTGGAGGAGTGGGTGACGCTGGTGCTGTCGCTGAGGGTGCTGGTGTTGTCCCTGCTGCGTCTGGAGCTGCCGCGCGGCCACGGCCGTACTTTGTTCCGCTTCTGCAGCAGGTTCTTGGTCTTTCTCCTCCATTAGAGGGTCCACCGCCTGTCCAGTCGCAGTCCCTGCTGGAGCCTTCCTCTCCACTGCCTGCTCCCTCTCCTTACACTGGTCCTACTGGAGGTCTTGCTGAGCGTCGTGAGCCTGCGTCTCGTCCCGCGTCGCCTGTTCGTGCTGCTCGCTCTAGTGGTCGCAGTTCGCGTCAGCGTCCTCCTCCTGTCCCTGGCACGCACCGGATGTCCTTGCGTCCGTCCACTGCTCCCCTGCATGCCCCTTTGCCTTCTTCTCCTGAGTCCTCTCTTCCTGCGCTTGCCGACCCTGAGTCGGACTCTCTTCGTGCTGCCAGTCCTACTGTCACGCGTCTGCTTGCTACTGTCGTCACTGACCCCTCTTTTGAGTCCACTGCTGCGTCTGCTCTTGTCGCTGAGCTCGTCGACTTTGTTGCTCGCTGTCGTCTAGACTACGCTGCTAGTCTTGTTGCTGAGTCTGCGTCTGTCTGTCCTCCGTCCGTCGGGGGTGAGTGTGCTCTTGGCACGGACGTCCTAGAGGACAGGCAGGAGGAGTTACAGTGTCTAGCGGCTGCTTCACCTCATCTCGCGTTTGTACTGCTTACCCCTGAGGGAGACCCGGATGCACTAGACATCCCGACTCCGCGTTCTTACGCGGAGGCCGTAGAGGGTCCCTACTCCTCTCAGTGGCAGGCAGCTATGGATGCAGAGATGGCTTCCTGGAAGTCCAGAGGCACCTACGTTAACGAGGTTCCCCCTCCTGGGGCGAACATCGTCAGTGGCATGTGGATCTTCAGGGTGAAGCGGCCGCCGGGCTCTCCACCTGTCTTCAAGGCGCGGTGTGTTGCTCGTGGCTTCAGTCAGCGGCAGGGAGTTGACTACTTTCAGACCTTCTCTCCCACCCCGAAGATGACCACTCTTCGGGTGCTGCTGCACATAGCCGCTCAGCGCGACTACGAGCTTCACTCTCTCGACTTCAGCACTGCGTTCTTGCAGGGTAGCCTGCACGAGGAGATCTGGCTGCGCCGTCCGCCTGGCTTCACTGGGACTTTCCCTCCTGGCACCCAGTGGAGCCTCCGACGGCCAGTCTACGGTCTCTGCCAGGCACCGCGTAAGTGGCACGACACACTGAGGACTACGCTTGCGGCTCTTGGGTTTGCTCCTTCTACTGCTGACCCGTCGCTGTTTCTGCGCACCGACACTACTCTGCGGCCGTTCTACATCCTCGTGTACGTCGACGACTTGGTCTTTGCCACAGCGGACACTGCTGGACTCGCCTACGTGAAGTCCGAGCTGCTGAAGAGACACACGTGCACAAACCTGGGTGAACTGCGCAGCTACCTTGGCTTGCAGATCACTCGGGAGAGAGCACGCCGCACCATTACCTTGACTCAGTCACACATGGTGCAGCAGGTCCTTCAGCGCTTCGGCTTCACGTACTCCTCGCCTCAGGCCACTCCTCTGCCTACTCGCCACTCACTCTCAGCTCTGCCTTCGGATGAGTCCGTAGAGTCGAGTGGTCCGTATGCAGAGCTTGTTGGCTGCCTCATGTACCTGATGACCTGCACACGACCTGACCTTGCATACCCTCTGAGCATTCTTGCACGCTATGTTGCTCCTGGTAGACACCGACCAGAGCACATGGCTGCAGCGAAGAGGGTATTGCGCTACCTGTGCAGTACGTCGGGCATGGGGCTAGTGCTTGGAGGGCGGAGTCCAGTGGTCCTTACAGGCCACGCGGACGCTTCTTGGGCTGACGACCAGGCTACGCAGCGGTCGTCGCAGGGTTACACCTTCAGCCTTGGTTCCGGCTCTGTCTCGTGGCGGTCTACTCGCTCGTCTTCGGTTCTCGGCTCCAGTTGTGAGGCTGAGATCTACGCCGGGGCCATGGCTGCAGAGGAGCTTCGCTGGCTCACCTACCTGCTGACTGACTTTGGAGAGCCGCCTCGTTCTCCTCCAGTGCTGTACGTAGACAACAAGGCCATGCTGGCCTTGTGTCGAGAGCAGCGCTTGGAGCACAGAACGAAGCACATTGCTCTCCGCTACTTCCTTGCTCGTGAGCTGCAGCAGCGTGGTCAGTTGCGACTTGCGTACGTGGCCTTTGAGGCCAACACTGCTGATGTGTTCACCAAGGCACTTGCGCCTTGTGACCATCAGCGCTTTTGTACCCAGCTGGGTCTTGTGCCTGTCTTGCCTCACTTGCTCTCTTCTTGACTTTACTTGTACTTTGACATATATATACCTGCTCTTGCTTGTCTTGCTTTATATATATGTCTGTACTCTTGCATGTGAACTGGCCTTTGGCCTTGCTCTTGTGCTCGGACTGTGTGGTGACTTTGTGATCCACCCCGAGCTTGCTTTGATTTGCTTGACTGGTCTTGTGACCCCTTGTTCTCCCCCACTTTGCCTATGGGGGTGTGTCAGAACATATATACAGCTTATACTATTGTGTAGGCTGTAGTGGGGTATCCCATAGGGGGTACAACCAGTTAGGGTTTCCTACTTGTACCACTTTCATTTCATAGTCATTCATTCCTGTTCTCTAACTCTCACAAGCCCGCCGGAATACGCGACTACCAGCGAAAACTGGGCTGTCTACTCTTCGCAGCCGTCACCTGTCGCCCTAGACTTGTCCTACTCCGCTAGCCAGCTCGCTACCTATCTCAAGAGACCTGAAGCAGATCACATGGCAGAGCTCGATCGCGCACTACACTACCTCGTGAGCACGCCGACGATCGGCCTGACCTACTACAAGAACGAAGCTGCGTCAATGAAGCTAATCGGCTATGTCAATGCCGACCATGCCGGCGATCCAGATAACAAGCGCTCTCGAACTGGCTACGTCTACCGTCTCGAGCCTATCGGACCTATCTCCTGGCAGTCGAGTAAACAGGAACTAATCGCACTCTCCTCAGCTGAAGCGGAATATATCGCCCTCTGCTCAGCCACCAAGGAAGGACTCTACCTTCGCGAACTGCTGGAAGAAGCAAAGCTAGCCGAGTTACCCAGCTTCACCCTGCACTACGACAACCAATCTGCAATTCGCATCGCCAACAAGAACGGATTCGCGAACAGAACGAAGCATATCGCTCTGCGATATTTCTTCGTGAAAGACGAGATCGAGAAAGGAAGACTCGAGTTATCCTACTGTCCCACGTCCGAGATGGCAGCCGACTATTTGACCAAGAAGCTCAGAAAACAGAAGTTCGAGAACTGCATGCTGCTGACTGGACAAAGCCACGTCACCATCAGCGACACTCCAGAAGCGAAGGGGAGTGTTGGGAACAATAAGTCTTAAAGGCGCCTCTGTCGTGTCGAAACACAGTACTCAAAGCGAAGCAGTCAGAATCGAAGCATCGCTGAGTCAACCCTCGAAGTTGGGAGTAACCGCCTGGAGGTTACACGAAAGTCAAAGGTCAGCGACCTTTGACTTGACCAATACAGCGCGACAGCAAGGACACACAACTGACTCGACATTGAGCAGTTGCCCGAGTCGCACTGTATCGAATCGCAACAGCAAAACAGTTATCTCATCTATTCGTATTCCTTGTACTCCTATATAAAACCTTGTACTTGTTTGTTTTTAATCAACTTTACTTTGCCCTCATATACCAGCGCAAGGTAGTTCAAGACCCTTTTACTTCAACGCTTCCGCTATTACAATCCTACTCAGCCTTTAACTCTATAAAGATCCTAGGGCTTCTCAGCCCAACACCCTTCCCCTCCTCCTGTCGTTCCCATTGCTGCAGCTGCCGCTGGGGGGGAGGGTGTGAGGGTGTGGGGGAGCCGGGGGAGTGGCACTGGGGGTGGCGGGTGTGAGAGCAACCAGCAGCCGCCCCTCCACCTCTCCTCTCTTCCTCCCCTCTGCTGCTCCTGCAGCATAGTGGGGGGGAGGGGGAGGGGGAGGGAGAGGGGATGGAGGTGTTGTGTGTTGTTGCTGTTTTCTCTGTCTTTGGTGTACCCCTGCAGGTTATGTCTTTCACTTAGCTATTCCTGCATGCAGCTACGGGGGGATGTCAGAATTATAAATAACTGCATTCAGTTCTAGCTGTAGTGTAGTCTTATATTGGTTCTTGCTTGGTGGTGCACCCTTCCTGAACTATAACTTGTACTTGTTTCTCATATTGAACCATTCTCATTCTCGACTCTCCTCTCTTGGCACAAATTACCTCGACTCCCTTGGCCTAGGCTACTAAGCCTAGGCCCTAAACCTTAACTACCTTTCACTACTGCTTAGTCTCTCAACAGTAATCACCTCGTTGAGAGCCAGCCACCCCCAAATTTCCCCCCTGCTTATTCACTGCTTCCCCCCCGCTTACCCCTTGTTTCCCCCCTGATCTCTCTTCCCTCCCTGATCTTTCTTCCCTCCCTGTTCTCTCTTCCCTCCCTATTCTCTCTTCCCTCCCTGTTCTCTCTTCCGTGGTGCATCTCATCAGGCATGATGCAACCAAGCAGACAAGCTAGACAGATCTAGGATAGTGTGATGTGGGCCCTTGCCGTATCATAACATCAGGCATGAAGCAACCAAGCAGACAAGCTAGACAGACAAGTTACTTATCAAAATACCCTAATCAGTTTGAGGTACTATATATTCAATAATGATAGCATTGGTCATGTGTGGATATTTGTGATGGTCCCTCTTTTGCAACACTGGTGGGTGTGAGAATGTTTATGTATTATATGGTAAATAACTTGAGGTATAAGACAGCCTTTGTCCACTCTCATTGTCTTGTCGCCTCCACTAGAGGGTAATGTAGCTCCTGCTGAGTGGTGAGAGCCCATGTAGTGCTCATGCTGCAGCAGTCACCCCAGCTGCAGCAGCAAGTCGGAGGCCCAAGCAGGAGGGAAGGAGGGGTGGATGAGTGGCGCGTGTGGTGGTAGGGCGCATGGAGAGTGCCATAGAGCCCAGCATCCACTCGCCCTATGGCGCGTGTGGTAGGAGGGCGCCCATGTCCTCCCCTCCATGGCACCCCGCTGCCCTGCTGCAGCCTGCACGGCACACTTAGCCGAGCAGACGGGGAAAAGAGGAGAGTGGCAGAGCAATGGCAGGGCAGAAGGAAAGCAAAGGGAAAGGAATGGGAAGGAGAGTGAAGGAGTGGGGAAGAGAGGGAAAGGAGTAAGCCATTGCTTTATGAACAAAGCACATGCTCCCTTCACCGATTGCATCATGCCATGCAGCAAGCTAGTGGAAGAGAGGGTGCCACTGACGGCGAGGGTGGAAGGGTGATTGGGGCTGCCATCTCTGAGTTTGGAATTGATCCGGTGAAGATGAGCCTTGAAGCACAGTGGACAGGGGGGGAAAGGTTGCGTTACATCTAAACATGGATCATACAGGAATGTAAGCAAATGGAAGGGTCCAGGAGACATGGGGAGGCAGGGAGGTGAGATGGGGAGGAAGGGGCACAGTGAAAAGTAGCGGGCAGGTGGGAGGAAGACAAGGGGGGGAGAGGATGACAGGGGGAAGAGAGGAGGACAAGGGGGAGAGAGGATGACAGGGGGGAGAGAGGATGACAAGGGGGAGAGAGGATGACAGGGGGGAGAGAGGATGACATGAGGGAGAGCGGAGGACAGGGGGGAGAGAGGAGGACAGGGGGGAGAGAGGGGGACAGGAGGGAGAGAGGGGGCCAAGGGGGGGAGGAGGACAGGGGGGGAGGAGGACAAGGTGGGGAGAGGATGACAGAGGGGAGCGAGGAAGACAGAGGAAGAGAGAGAATGATAGAAGGGAGAGAGGATGACACAGTAGAGAGAGGAGAATAGGGGGGGGAGAGGAGGTCAGGGGTGAGAGAGGAGGACATGGGGGACAGAGGAGACAGAGGAAGGGAAACGGAGGGTAGGGAAACGGGGGTAAGGGAGAAAGTGGGAGGGAAAAGGGGGGACGGGAAAAGGGAAGACGGGATAAAGGAGGGACTGGAAGTGGGGGGATGTGAAACGTGGGGAAGGGAGACGGGAGGACAGGGGGGAGAGAGGATGACCGGGGGGGATGAGGGAGGAGTGCAAGTCAGGTGTGCTAGAAATGGGCAGAGGAGCAATGGATTGGAGGGATGAGGAGGAAATGCGCGGATTCGTGTGAGCGCAGTTGAGTGCACGATGCACTTCCCTCCCGTTGCCCGCACTCGCCACGCCTCTGCCCCTCGCAACCTCGCTGCTGCCACGGGACTACTGCCACCTCACTCACTACGCTCTCACCACTACTGGAGGGCGGCTCCGAAGAGGTTCGGAGGGATGAGGAAAGGCTCCGGGCGCGTGAATGGGCGCATCTCGCGCACCTCGTCAAACGTGCAGATGGCGGTTCCGTGGCGGTGACGAGGCTGCAGGCGCGGGTGGCTGATGGGGGGAGGGGAAAAACCAAGGGAAAGCAGTGGGGAAATGGGGAAGAAAATGGTGAAACGAAGGGAAGGAGGGATGGGAATGAGGGCAAGGAGCGGGGGACATGTGAGAAAGAAGGGGGAGCGGGAAGGGAGGAGATAGATTGAGCTGAGAGAGGGGTTGGGGGGGATAGGAAGATGGGAGTGAGGGACGGGAGGACATAGGAGGAGGAGGTGCGATTTGGGGGAAAAGGGAGGTGCGACCTGGGGGTAAACGGAGATGCGATATGGGGGAAATGGGAGGTCCTCTGGTGGGGGACAACGGAGGTGCGATATGGGGGAAAAGGGAACGCGATCTGGGGGAAAACGGAGGTGCGATATGGGGGAAAAGGGAACGCGATCTGGGGGAAAACGGAGGTCCGATATGGGGGAAAAGGGAGGTGCGAATTGGAGGGAAATGGGTGAGGCTACTCGCGGGAATCGCGGCTCATAGCGTGGGGGCGGGAATCAGTCGCCGCGAGCGGGAATCGCGGCTCTACATACTTGGGCGTGAAGCAGGCGATACGGTACGGTACGCGCAGCTGGCCAGAATCGTGGATGTGAGCGGGTTGGCGCTAAACATACTGCACGCAACACGCTGCTAGCAGGAATCGCGGCGATCACAGTGGCTGCGTGAAACTGACACTACATCCGTCGCCACAGGCGAATTTCGCGGCGGTTTGCGACGGTGGCGTGCATTATTCTGATGCGCTACCTGCTGCTAGTACGGGGATTCGCAGACTAGAGCAGTTTGGCAGTACTGCTCTCTCTGGCCAGCGTTTTCTGTTCCGCTTGGGTGTTTGTGTTGGGCGCATGATCTTCCGCATTTTCGCGGTGTACTTCCGCCAAGAAAACTTCGCCCGCGAAATTGTTTCTCATCGCAAACGCTGTTTGTAATCCTCGCACAGGTGATTGGGGTGGCAGCTCACTTCGCTCTCGAACCAGCGTGCGCCAAAGGGTGTGCACTTAGATTAGCCCCAAAAAAACCCTTTTACTATGTAGACCGCAGCTTTAAGAGTTACTTGTTCTCTGATTAGTCAGGGATTTTGTGTAAGTTCTCTCTGGAGCGCCAGTGTTGCTTTCCCGGATAGTGAGATTACTCTGTACGGGGGATACATGTACCCCCGAACCCCCACGTTCCCCCTTATCCCCTCGTTGCCGGTATTGACCGGAGCGCAGGGGATACCGTCATCGCCCGGATATAAGACATATATGTCTTATCTCATACACTAAAAAAAATGCTTGGATTATCTTGTATTTGGGGAGGTTTTGGGTGTCTTATGTGTCATATAAATGGAAACTTTTAAAACTACTTTTTTCACACATCTTGAAAAGAGTTTCTCATTATGTATGTGGATATTGCGAAGGTGCCACTTCGGCAACCATTGTTCGGGGTGCCACGTCATGGAGAAAATTTGCAAAGGCAAATTTGGTAGTACGTGAGTCAGCACGTGGCAGAATTCGCGTGCCGCAAGGGTAAAAATGTACGCGGTACTTCAATTTTCACTATAATATATTGCAGTTTCGATTATAAGACACATATGTCTCATCTCGTACACACAAATAGGTGTCTTATAATGAGGCTAGCCTGTTTATAAGAGACACCCGTATAATAGACAACCCCTGTCTACTATTCAAAACTGTCTTATATCCGGGTGATGACGGTATCAGTCTTGTTTCGCTCTTGTGTTGGCACTACCTGGGGTTCTGATTGGCCGGAATGGCATATTTCGTGCCAGCGCACGCATCTGGCCACCTACCAGATCTATTACTCGCTTTGCGTACCCCATCAGCAATGAACAACTCCTACTTTCGGGCATGATATGGCAGCTTCCTTTTGTGCACTGATTTCGTGCGCGACGCGCACATTCACACATGTTGCTCGGCAGGCAGACATGGTCACCACCATACCCCATCCTGTCCTCCCATTATGTTTCTTCTCACTGCACTGCTCTTTAACGTTCCAGTCTAGCGAGTGTTTAGTGGGCTTCTCCAACCACAGCCCCGCCTCCTGCAGCTTTTTTGTACCATCAATACCATGGATACTAGCGACGCCGAGGGAGACGCGGCTGATCCCGACGATGGGCCGACCTGTAGCACACCCTCTTCGACTGGGCTTCAGTTTCTCCGCGCTGTGCGTGAAGATTACGTTCGCGATGAAGCTGCGCTGGGCGATGGCGGTACCGAATGGATGCGACATCCACGCAAGGAATCTGGCGACATGGAAGATGCGAAAGACGATTGGTGTCTATCTCCGCGCCCGATGAATGACGCTGCTGAGTCAGACGATGTTGAGGAGTGGATCGCCTCGCCGCCAAATGAGGTTGCTGCAGAGCCGGCTGCAACGGTTGCAGCGCAGGTTGTCGATGCGGCCACTCCTGAGTCGACTGGTTCAGTCGCTGTGAAGAAGCGACGATTAACGCAGCAGGTTTTGTAGTGAGGAACACCGCCGCCGAAGCCTGTCGCTCCACCTCCCCGTCCTGCCCCACCCCCCATTCGTCCCCTTTCAGACGAGGAGAAGAAGGAGAAGGCGTACATGAAGGCACAGAAGAGCTACACTTCTGATTGGCTGCTGAAGTTTGAGTGGTTGATTGTGGACAGGACGCCAGAGGGTGACCCATGTCTACGCTGCAGTGTCTGCATGGAGCACGGGAAGGACAACGCGCGTTACGGTCGCAATGGCGCTGGCGGTCGTGATCTGCAGATCGGGTCGATGCGGTGGCACGAGAACAGCGCCAAGCACAAGGACGCGATGAACAAGCAGGCAAACCTGTTGCAGAAGATCGCTGACTAGAAGAAGATTGAAGACTTCGCGAAGGGAGATCCCGAAGGCTGTCGCGACACGGTACTCATGCGAGCCATACGATTCGTGTGCCGCACCGACACACCCATCCACATGTACCCACAGATCGTTCAGCTTCTCGCAAAGGAGGGGATCGCCAACATACCGCAACAGAGCTATGGAGTGTACATCACACAGTGAGTTGTTGTCTCTATTGTTCTTAAGGAACTGTTTATGTTTAACTATGCTAATGCATTGTGCTATGTGTCTGCGCAGGTACGGTTTCTCCGAGATGGCTAGGGTTCTCACCGTGTATCTGACCAGAGAACAATTACGCCACCTCCACGCCTCGCCCTTCATCGGCATCATGTGCGACGAGAGTACCGATCGCGCCCGTGGCAAACACATGATTGTGTTTGTCACGTTCCTCAAGAACAGCGTAGTTGTAACTGAGTTACTCGCGTTACTTACCGTCCAGCAGTGTGATGCGGCATCGCTCATGGGCACACTGCTCCAGCATCTCGAGACGGTGGGCATCGACTTGCAGAAGATTTCAGGAATATCCACGGACGGCGCGGAGGCACGTCGGGGGCATGTCCGGCCTTGTCATGCAACTGCGCGTCCACTTCCCCCACCTTGTCGGCTACCATTGCACATCGGTACATTTGTCTTGGCTGCGAAATAGAATGACTGGTTTAACGTTACCTTGTCTTAAAGTCATGTAACAATCTTATTCAAAGCTTCCTACTTTTGCTTGCAGCGAACGCACTTGCTGTGAAGGAGACTGCCGGTGCGGAGCAGTTCAAAGATTTTGGGATGGTAGACAAGGCCATCCGTGCAGTTGGCGAGATTGTGGGGAGATCCACGCCGTGGTACGAGAGGTTCAAAGAGCTCCAACTCGTGATCCAAAGTACCAACCTCGAGCACGAGGGATTGTTCGGACGTGCGCTTGCTCTCTCGTGTCGATGCTATCAACCGGCTTGTCAAGATTTTGGGGTCGGAAATCGTGCTATTCCTCGAGTACAAGCACAAGATTGCCGCGGTTGTGAAGACCCTGAAATTTCACTTATGTCTGTACTTCCTCGCAAACATTTTGGGGGAGTTGAACTCCCTGAATCATTTCTTCCAACGACGCAAGGTAAATCGTGCCCAAAAGGCTTGTTGACACACACGTTTAACCATTGAAATTATTCCTTTTAACCCAGTCAAACAAACAATTTTTTCCCCGTGTCAGTCTGGCAGGTGGAGGTGACGCAAGTCACAGAGGAGGTCGACCGTGTGGTGTCCTGTGAAGAATGAGGAATGAATGAACTAGGAAAGAGGTGGGTAGAAGTAGGAAAACCTAGAAATGTTGTACCCCATCTAGTCTACCCCACTATAGCCCACACAGACTATAGCATATACGTTTGACACACACCCATAGGCAAAGTGGGGGAGAACAAGAGGTCACAGGACCAGTCAAGCAAAGCAAAGCAAGGTCACGATGGATCACAACGTCACCACACAATCCGAGCACAAGAGCAAGGCCAAAAGGCCAGTTCACATGCAAGATTATATATCAAGGTAAACAAGCAAGTGCAGGTATAGAAAGATCACAGTACAATCAAGGTCAAGAAGTGAGCAAGTGAGGCCAACTAGGCACAAGACCTAGCATCATACAGAAACGCGGATGATCACCGGGCGGAAGAGTCTTGGTAAAGATATCAGCAGTGTTGGCCTCGGAGGCCATGTAAGCAAGGCACAGCTGACCACACTGCTGCCGCTTACGAGCACAGAAGTAGCAAAGAACAATGTGCTTCCTTCTGTGCTCCAATTTGTGCTCCCGACACAAGGCCAGCGTGGCCTTGTTGTCTACGTACAGAACTGGAGGAGAATGAGGCGGCTCTCCTAGGTCAGTCCAGAGGTAGATGAGCCAGCGTAGCTCCTGTGCATCCATGGCCCCCGCGTAAATCTCAGCCTCACAGCTGGAGCCGAGAACAGAAGATGACCTAGTAGACCGCCACGAAACAGAGCCGAAACCAAGGCTGAAGGTGTAACCCAGTGACGACCGCTGCGTAGCCTGGTCATCAGCCCAAGAATCGTCTACGTGACCTGTGAGGACCACTCGACGTCGCCCTCCAAGCACTAGCCCCATGCCCGACGTACTGCACAAGTAGCGCAACACCCTCTTCGCTGCAGCCATGTGCTATAGTCAGTGTCTCCTAGGAGCAACATAGCGTACCAAGATGCTAAGAGGGTATGCAAGGTCAGGTCGTATGCAGGTCATCATGTACATGAGGCCGCCAACAAGCTTTGGTTACGGGCCACTCGGCTCTACGGACTCATCCGAAGGCAGAGCCCAGAGCGAGTGGCGAGTAGACAGAGGAATGGCCCAAGGCGAGGAGTACGTGAAGTCGAAGCGCTGAAGGACCTGCTGCACCATGTGTGACTGAGTCAGGGTAATGGTGCGTTGTGTTCTGTCCCGGGTGATATACAAGTCGACAAGCTCAGCAACTAGGGCAGGCGCAGCAGTGGACTCAAAGGAAGGGTCAGTGACAAGAGTAGCCAGGAGACGCGTGACAGTAGGACTGGTAGCAGAAAGAGAGTCAGACTCCGGTTCAGCAAGGACAGGAAGAGAGGACTCTGGAGGAGACGACAACGGGACACGCAGAGGAGCACTGGAAGGACGCACTGCCATCAGGTGTGTGCCTAGGACCGCAGGAGGACGCAGACGCGGAGCACGACTACTAGTGCGAGCAGCACGAACGGGCGACGCAAGACGAGACGCAGGCTCATGACGATTTGCAAGACCTCCAGTAGGA